ATAAACAAGTAGTTCATCGTTATAGGTGATCAATGTATATATGAACTCTGCCTTAGAGCGATGTTTAGTATATCGCGCACACGATCTGTTTGTCCTCCGTCAAGTACAGGATGAAGCACAAACTACCGTGAACCAGCACACGTGATCGAGAAGTTGGACAAATTCTTCGTCACGCACAGGTTGTTTTCGTTGGTTCTACACGCCGTGAACTAAATATGCAGGACAAGGGGGAGACCGTTGAATGTAAATTAGGTCGTTTCGAACAAGCAACTCTCGCGAGCGACTCTTTCTCGTTCGAGAAGAAAGATCGGTTTCTCTCGCTTTTCTTAAATAAAAAAGTAATATCTTTATAGATTTATATTTGTATATCAATTCTTAAGCGCGATGCAGGAAGGAAAAATTTGTTACCGGAGATAACGTATGCATTCCGTTTGCCCATTCCCTCTTCCATTTTCTCGCGATCGGGGAAGTTCGCAGACATCAAAGTAGGAAGCTCGTAAAACATGGAATAAACTTGCAGTCCTATATTACGATACGACGGCGGCCTCTGACTTCTATTACGGCCTCTATCTTCCACCGACTATATTACATCGCGAGCTACGGAATCTCGGGATGTAGCATTTTCATGTGACGCGACATAACGTTACGTTTCAACGATGCGTCACGTACCCGGTACCATATTCACGATACCATTCCTACTATTTCGTTAATTAACCAATTAAGCGATTCAGCCGAGCTTCGTTCGCGTTAATTTCCGATATCCGCCGTCAAATTTATCCATCTCGCGTGATGCAATGACGAAATCCAATATTGCGAAGTGGATTGAAGGGACGAGCGAGACAAAAATATCACTCTCTTGTCTGTTTGCTGTTCCAGCAGATATAAAAAAGCTCATTATAGTATATAATTAAGTAATCGCGATAAAATATATAATCAAATAAATTTAAAAAATTAAAGAATTTAAAAAAAAGAATTGCTATTCGCTATCATTATAACGTACCGAATATGATGAAATCACCAACAATGAAATATGTCACGTGTCGCGGTTGCCGCGCTCTATACCTCGAGAGCCTCTAGCGCATCCTCTACCAGAGAGGACGCCCAGGAAATATCGCACGAGAGCTTCCGACGGACGGGCCGTCGAACGAGCTCGTGTTTCCGCAATCGCGAAGGGCTGCCAACATATTCTCCCCTCGTAAAGAGAGACTCGTCTTTAGACAAGGCGGGTACAAAGCCGCGAGGAGTGTCTTCGTGGCCAATTAGAGCGACGCACGTTGGCGGATCGTAATGTGAAGAGGACGGTATAATACTTCTCGAAATATTTCAATTATGTGACGAAGGGGAACCACCCCTCCCTCTCACGTGTTAAGTTTCACCTCGGACGAATCAACGATGATTTATAATTAATTCGATTAAAATAATACAAAAAAATGTGTATGATATTTATCTTTAAATGATCTCTCCGGGGTGTTCATTGTGAATAAATTCAGCCTTCGCGAAAAAGGAATTGAGATATGGACGAGATGGAAAAGGGGGACTGGCTAGTCGGGGCCGAATTACCGAGACCGAGGATTTCTCGGCTCGATAACGTACGCCGGGCTTCTTAACTTGGGAATAGGGTCGGATCTAGATTTGAATCACGTAGAAACCCGCGGCTTCCCCAATCTTTGCTCATAAGTCGTAAGTGTACGCGAGTGTGTGTGTGTGTGTGTGTGTGTGTGTGTGTGTGTGTGTGCGCGCGCGTATGTATACGTGTGTCGGTACGGGATAGCTGATCGCAGATGGCGAAGATCCCATCGTGTACAACGCGCGACGGTATAAGCCGACGTTTCGGATTTCAGAGCTTCCAAATCCGGCGTTTGTGCCGTTACGAAGTGCCTACTACTACCATCGGAACGGCAAAAGCCGCAATTTTGCCGAATAAGACTCACCAAAATGGTATCATGTAGCTTCCATCAAATTCTAAGTGATATCATTGCCTGAGAATCTTTCATGTTCTTCTAATATTTTTTTTACGAAAAAATGCCGATACTGGAAATCACTCGTCTTTCCCTTAAGAAATAAGAAGACAGACGGGAAATTATTGTTCGAATATATATATATGTGTGTGTGTGTGTAACTTGGAAAAGCAAGTTCTTTTGACCTACTCCGGACAATGCGCCGCCCTTAATTTCCACACATACCTAAGGCGTCCCGCGGCGTCTTCGGGTTCGATCGAGCGCGGTGCATTTAAGGGGCGCAAGATGCACGGGGAATAGGAGAGAATGGCGGGGGCGTAGTTGTGGAGAACGTACGTGCAGCTGTCTATCTTCCAAGTGGCATTAATAGGTCTTTGTTTCGCCGACAAGAGAGAGGGAGAGAGAGAGAGAGAGAGAGATGCGTCGCCCGCGCGGGTCTATTATTCGAATGTAGAGCAGATATTGGTTGTCGATATTGCCAGTCGCCCGTCTAAATATCCGATCGATCGATCCCTTTCTCGCGTCTCTGTAACCGCCCCCGTTACCCTTCGCCACCTCTCTCACTCTCTCTCTCCCCCTCCCCCTCTCTCTCTGCCTTCGCCCTTTCTTCGTGCGTCTTCCGCCGATGGAAATTCCGTATTCTCGCCTCGATTTCCTTCTCCTAGTCTCTCTCTCTCTCTCTCTCTCTCTCTCTTCCTCTCTTTGCGCACCGCAAACGGCCGTTATCGCGAACGGCAACCCTAACTCGCGATAATGAGCTCACGTCGGCGTGCCTCACGTATCGCTCGATCCGACAATGCCGACCGATCGTTCCCACCCGAGACGGTACCGTAGCTTTTCTCTCCACACGCTGGATATACTATACTTTAATCGCGCCAACCGACGGCGGCACGGCGAGAGAAACGCCGACTCGAACTACTGAAAAGTTAACCGTACGCTCTCGACGCGGTCTGCACGATGCACAGGAGACTCCCTTCTAAGATAAAAGCGCTAAAATTGCGACGTGTCGTTCTCCGCTCTAATATTTCTCTGACTCGATAAGAATAAAATTAGACGATAAAAAATTGTTCACACGTTGTAAGAATATCTGGATTCAAAGGCGTGACCGTAATCATAAGATAAAGTTTATCGAATAATTTTAGTCTCACTCGCCTATCAGGTTTCCTCTGTAACGTTAAAAAAGCATCCATGCTTCTATTTTCCTAATGATTAGTATTAATCTATAAAGTATATATTTATAATATATTATCTATGATTATCTATGTAAGCTTTTTAAGAGTCAGCCTTTCTTCATAAAATCGAAACTTTATAAAACAGCGTTTAATTAAAAGCCTAAATTTTTTTATGTAAAAAATCTATATTTATAAAGAATCTGCGTCATCAATATAATATCTTAAAATTCACATTCTTATCTAAGAATGTGAATTTCAGAATGCTTATAATTCAATCCAATTTCTTTGTCATTACTTGTGAAGCGTAAACCGTTACTGTTAAAATAAAGAAAAATCTTTATCTCTTGATTTCATTTTGCCACACCGCGAGGAAACAAACTATTCGATTCGCTTCAATCTTAGAATCGTTAAACATTTGTCTGAAACGATAGGTAGCATCCGTTGCCTGGATGCTGAAAAATGTCGTGGTAGCACGAGTTCGTGAAAACGGGGAAACGACGTTTCTACGGTATTCGCATCGATTATCGGACACACATATTGGTACACGATGAACCGATAAGTTCCTTTCCTCCCCCCGCCTCTCGTCGAAATGGTAATTTAATTATTATCCGGTCAGCTTTTCCATTTCCAGCGCGCGCGATCTCGGATTTCTCGCGTTCCTCGTCGTCGCGTTATCGCGGTTCGTCATCCATAGCAATAATGAGCTTCCGTGTCTGCCTATGGATGTATCTTCATTTGATAATTCTGCATGAAGCAAGACTACGGAGAGCTTGCGTCTCTCTCTCTCTTTCAAGTGTCCGGTTACTCCAATCGCGGGACACATATTGGCACAAGATAAACCAACCGAATCGAAATATATTGACTTAACTGCCATACAAATATAATCTTTCACGTATTGGAGAGTTATACGCGAGTTTATGTATATGACAGTTTTATTCTACAAAGAGATATATTAAAGTTGTTCGACAAGAGCCGTACCAGCATACGAAGCGAATATGCTATTGTAGCTTTTTGAAGCTTTTCCTTTGAGTTCGCCACGGGGCACCCTTATATGATCGAAAGATTAAGATAAGCATTTCTTTTTGTCGTTCGATTTAAATTTTAGATTTGTAGCTGATAGAAATTTCTGTCTTAAAAAATTCAAGATATTATTTTAAGAGGATATTTTAAAAGATATTAGTATATTTTAAAAGATATTTCGACACACATTTTGTATTATTATTATTTTAAGAATTAATCATTTTAGAAATCTGTCGATCAAATAAAAATTTTACTCGAAAACGATTGCCGTTTAGTTTATCTAAAATGCCCCAAAATTCGAAAATAATGGAGAAATTGGAAATCGATGATATAACCACGGAAGGAAATATACGTTGGGGCCTCGTAAAATCTGTTGCATCGCAGTTTTCACTCCATTCCGTCCTCATTTTACGGATTCGATTTTCCTGCTCGTCCTCGTTTTCGACGATCGTCGACGAGGGTCGAGCGAGAAAGTCGACGGATTATCGCAGCCAGTTGTGTTTATCTTGGGGATTAGCCGCGATTATTTGACTCGCGGTCGGCGGACTCGGGTACACGAGTGTAGAGCCAATACTGTTGTTGAAAATTAATCAATCCCATTTAAGGGATCCCACACCGCGCATATTTTTTGCCGTCGAAAGAGCTATCACGTCTCTCGATTATCGTTGATTCGCTTTCGAAAAGCGACGGACAAACCAAATTTGACGTGCGCGAATAATTATGCATCGCGATCTCTCGACTGGAATACGAGACGAAAGTCACGGGACGCCGCATTAATTCGCGATATTAAAGGCAACCTTGGGGGGTCGCGAGAGGATTAAATTCGAAACGTCTAATACAAAATACTGACCGTGCTCCACGTAATAACTGGTCTCGTTGTACCGCTCGTCCGTGAATCCCGGCCTCTTCGCTTTCAGCGCTTTCGTTTCCAATTTCGCCTGGAACAAAGAACGTAGTAGAGATAAGTGACCATCCTGAGAGGGGGGTCAGACCACGGTTATATGCGAACTCCGCAATGTCCGGCATATATGGAATAACCGCGCGCACTTCTATACACGAGACGTACAAAAACGGTATAAAACAATAGAATTTTACGAGACAATAGAGAGCGACCGCGACGTTTTAAAAGATAGCGAAAAGTAATGGAAAACGAACAAATATCATTTCGTTTCCAAGTACATATATAATGTTGCGGTGATAATGGCGTGAAAGTCCGCCGGAAAAGTGTCCCGGTACTTATCGAATATCCTTAAGTCGAAAATGGAAATTTTATTTTGTTCCGGGGTGACCGCGCCACAATTTTTACCTGCTCTACCGCCGGATTATCCTCGTCGGCAAAAATTGTGGTTACGTCGAATTTATGGCGGACCCTCGATTAAAAACGGAGATATCATATATACAGAGGCCGGTGTTATTTGTCACTTTGCGACTGAAATAAAGGGCGCAGTAGATAAGTAGACTTCTAATCAGGCTTTGCGCGAGAGTCGTGTGAGCTGACGTATGGCGACGATAAATTTATCGTGCAAAAAAATGCGGCATACATTCCCCAGGACAATAAGGGGGGGCGTGGAATCGTGCGCAGAAAGTGAAAACTCACGGCGCAGTTTTGCGACGCAGTTCTTTTCGCTGGTCCCGCTTATTGAATTATCACGCGGACGTATATTTATGATGAGCCGAGAAAAATTTCGCGGAAATTGTGTCCATCGAAACGCAGATTAATCATGCGGAATGAAAGGATGCAATGTATAACGCATCCTCATAATGCGTACAAATTCAAATTCAGGGAGGAAGATATGCACCAGCATGAATCTCGCGATACCGGTGTGATAAATCTCTTTCCGTCTGCCAAAAGTTTCGTCCGCAACGTTTGTCCCGCAAAGTCGCACAAAATTTTCTCAAAAACCCCACGCGTCGCACGTGCTCGCTGAAATTTACGTACGACAATCGACGAAAATCGTAACATCAAGTGGCCGCTATTACGAGACATCACGTCGTTACTAAATGCGAGATAAGTAGAATCTTGCAGAAACGCGGTACGATTAAGACGAGGCGAGAATACGGAGGTAATCGCGTAATCTAATTAAAAAGTAAAACTTTGTTACAATCTTCGCACAACTCTCTTTGCATTTCCATCCGGTTCGTGTTACCTCGCTTTGGTCTGAAATCTAGTGAACCATGACATCCCACGATAAGGAATACGCGCGATTAGCAAAACGAGCGTATAAATCGGCAAAGATTCCCTCGTTCAAATGACTCTCTGTGCATTTGGATGTCATTTGACTATCGTTGCAAGAATTATAATTCAGGAATATCAAAACATATAATACTCCACGCTCACAAACAAAAACTTAAAATGATAGAATGCTCGAAAATAATTTCCTACTCCGCGAATGACCGTCAGATATTCCGCGTAAATAAAACAGCGGAGACCCAAGAGAGATATAGCGTTCGTTTCCCAAGGAGAGGCCTTATTCTCATACGAAGGAATCATTTTAATTTCAGATCGTTAATTAAAATTAATAAATGAGAGACATCCGGCTCGCCACGCCGGACGAGACGGCCGCGCCTTTCGTTCGAAATAACCGGCGCATTACGTTAATGGATCCTAATATTCCGTACGCGACACGTTTTAATTAACGCGCGGACATAATTAGTTGAAATCGCGGGTGCATCGAACCGAAGTAAATCGGATTACACGGGGTGTTGCACGTTGAATTTTCGATCGCGCGCGGTTGATACCGCCCGATACAGCGGTAGATCGATAGATGTCGATGGGAAAAGACTTCTCTTCACGCTTACGTGTTCATCAATGATTATCGGCCAGCGCGGACATTGCGGACCGGCAGAAATGTAATTAAGGACGAACAAATATCATTTCGTTTCCAAGTACATATATAATGTTGCGGTGATAATGGCGTGAAAGTCCGCCGGAAAAGTGTCCCGGTACTTATCGAATATCCTTAAGTCGAAAATGGAAATTTTATTTTGTTCCGGGGTGACCGCGCCACAATTTTTACCTGCTCTACCGCCGGATTATCCTCGTCGGCAAAAATTGTGGTTACGTCGAATTTATGGCGGACCCTCGATTAAAAACGGAGATATATACAGAGGCCGGTGTTATTTGTCACTTTGCGACTGAAATAAAGGGCGCAGTAGATAAGTAGACTTCTAATCAGGCTTTGCGCGAGAGTCGTGTGAGCTGACGTATGGCGACGATAAATTTATCGTGCAAAAAAATGCGGCATACATTCCCCAGGACAATAAGGGGGGGCGTGGAATCGTGCGCAGAAAGTGAAAACTCACGGCGCAGTTTTGCGACGCAGTTCTTTTCGCTGGTCCCGCTTATTGAATTATCACGCGGACGTATATTTATGATGAGCCGAGAAAAATTTCGCGGAAATTGTGTCCATCGAAACGCAGATTAATCATGCGGAATGAAAGGATGCAATGTATAACGCATCCTCATAATGCGTACAAATTCAAATTCAGGGAGGAAGATATGCACCAGCATGAATCTCGCGATACCGGTGTGATAAATCTCTTTCCGTCTGCCAAAAGTTTCGTCCGCAACGTTTGTCCCGCAAAGTCGCACAAAATTTTCTCAAAAACCCCACGCGTCGCACGTGCTCGCTGAAATTTACGTACGACAATCGACGAAAATCGTAACATCAAGTGGCCGCTATTACGAGACATCACGTCGTTACTAAATGCGAGATAAGTAGAATCTTGCAGAAACGCGGTACGATTAAGACGAGGCGAGAATACGGAGGTAATCGCGTAATCTAATTAAAAAGTAAAACTTTGTTACAATCTTCGCACAACTCTCTTTGCATTTCCATCCGGTTCGTGTTACCTCGCTTTGGTCTGAAATCTAGTGAACCATGACATCCCACGATAAGGAATACGCGCGATTAGCAAAACGAGCGTATAAATCGGCAAAGATTCCCTCGTTCAAATGACTCTCTGTGCATTTGGATGTCATTTGACTATCGTTGCAAGAATTATAATTCAGGAATATCAAAACATATAATACTCCACGCTCACAAACAAAAACTTAAAATGATAGGATGCTCGAAAATAATTTCCTACTCCGCGAATGACCGTCAGATATTCCGCGTAAATAAAACAGCGGAGACCCAAGAGAGATATAGCGTTCGTTTCCCAAGGAGAGGCCTTATTCTCATACGAAGGAATCATTTTAATTTCAGATCGTTAATTAAAATTAATAAATGAGAGACATCCGGCTCGCCACGCCGGACGAGACGGCCGCGCCTTTCGTTCGAAATAACCGGCGCATTACGTTAATGGATCCTAATATTCCGTACGCGACACGTTTTAATTAACGCGCGGACATAATTAGTTGAAATCGCGGGTGCATCGAACCGAAGTAAATCGGATTACACGGGGTGTTGCACGTTGAATTTTCGATCGCGCGCGGTTGATACCGCCCGATACAGCGGTAGATCGATAGATGTCGATGGGAAAAGACTTCTCTTCACGCTTACGTGTTCATCAATGATTATCGGCCAGCGCGGACATTGCGGACCGGCAGAAATGTAATTAAGGTTGCCGCAGAGTCGCGAGCGATGGAAAATCTCTCGTGGAGCGAGATCGCGTCCACGCCAAGCGATAATATCGATCGTAAATCGAATTATGTTTGTATTACATTGAACGCAATATTATTACAGAGAGACACACGCGATAGATATAATTTTAAGATATTTTTCGTAGTTTAATAAAGAAAAATATCAAGCATGCATCTTTTCAATTTAGCCTGCTATAACAGTTTCAACGGAACATTACACCTCATAATGCATAGATCATACACTCGCGTTTTTGCATCGATGCAACGTCGTGCGTATTACTAATTAATTGTAATTTACAATAATGACCGGCTATTTTAACCTCGCGAGAGCGAGACAACGGATATTAAATGGAAACATTTGTGAAAATTAATATGTATATTTATGCGTTGGCTTATATATATATGCTAGTATTTAGAGAGAGGGAAGGAGGGAGCGACAAACAGCTTGTTTCAAGAGTGCTGTTAATTGCAACGTTTCATTGAAAACGCATTCCATAATTAACGATAACTCGAAATAATCAATTACCGTGTAATTGATTACACGTGAGAAATATTCACAAGCAATCAAGAATCCATGCGATCCGTGCAATGAAAAGTATAGACAAAATGTGGTAGAAATCAAATATAAAGCGCAATAGAAGAAGGATAGGACAATAGTTTCTGAAGGAAAATGTTCCTGATTGCGTTTAATGAAACAATCAATCATTCGCGATATCAAATGATGAAATCCTATTTATGATCGAAATCATGCATTATAGAATAAATTTCCATTTCAACAATAGATGATAAATTCACTCTCAACGCGGCATTTCATTAATATTGACAGTCAGTCGCTTTTAATAACAGTCTCGTGTTCATCCGGTTTGTGTGCTTTGAAAAAAAAAAAAAAAAGACGAAATAATCAAACGATCCAACTTTGATTCGATCGAGTATCTCGTTAATCATAACGAGGCTGTTCGAAATTTTTGCTTAAATAACTAACGCTTCCGTTACATATTGTTTGTGATCTCGGGTGAAAACGTTAGTCATCGTCGCAACTGTGAGGGCGAACGAGACCGATGACAAGAACGATAATGACGATGATGACGACGACGAGAACGACAACGACGACGACGACGATGATGAGGAAACACGAGACTCTCTAGTGCCACAAAGAGCACAGAGTTACAAGGCGCGACGCAGGAGGAGTTGTGCGAGAAGCAAAGTGGCGAAGAAGTGTGGGGAGGCAGACGGAAAGGGGGATAAAAACCACCCTCTCGGTTTCTCCATTTAAGTCCCTCGCGCGACGATATATCCTCATCCACGAATTTTCGCGCCACTCGGCTCGCTCTCTGGACTTTCGGCTGTATCGACCGGCCCTAAAACATCCCTCCCTTTCACTCTCCCAGCCTCGAACGATTCCCTCGCTCTCTCGCCCTGCCATCCCCGAGTTTGAATCCACCTCCGTCCGCGAGTTAACGACGGTCTCTCTTGCTCCTGGGCAAACGATCGACCGCGTTGCTTTCATCGTCTGAGGCTTTCCTCGAAGTCCTGAAGCCCGCTTACTCCCTCTCTCTCTCTCTTTCTCTGTCTCTCGTTCTCCCCCGGCGATGTGCCATTTAAGACTCACGCTTCGCCGATTCTCCGGTCTGCATTCGTGGCCTTTGATAGGAGTCCTCATCGAAGTACTAGTCGCGATAGGTATATTTATATTAGAGGAATTTATGCAAGAAAGAGAGAGAGAGAGAAAGAGAGAGAGTGTATGTATTTTCAGAAACCTAGCCGGAACGTGCGCTGTAATATCGGATGTGCAAACGCGCGTAGGATGGAATGTACACGACGTAGGAAGACAAAGAGAGACATGCCAGAGGCGATCCGCGTGCGCGTGCATTCCGATTTTGGACATGGCGAATTCTGCCGAGGTTCGAGCTAGTATAATGCAACGTAACACGCATTATAACGTACCGTGCGTAAACAGGGCGTAACACGTTCAAAGTCGATCCTATACAAAGTCGCTCCCGCGATAAAAGATTAACGGCCGTCGTAAAACAACGAGCGGTTTAATCATCCCTTTATATTGGATGATTGCATAAGTTCGTGCCCGATTTTCATAGATGGCATTAAGTTACTGCATGGCGGAGTTCTATTGTTTTCGTGTGGTAATTGTTGCTTACACCGAATAGATGACGTTGTCTTATGTCAATTTAGCGTCAAACATTGTTCAGATAAGTCCATTTGTGCATAAGAGAAAGCATGAACTTATGCAATCACCTGATATTAAGAGGCGATATCTCGAGCGCTCTGTCAACGAGTGACTCGCGCCGCGACCTGTCATCGTGTGCGTCGCGCGTATATCCCCCTCGCGTATCTAATTTACGACGCACGCTGCGACAGAGGAAAGCCCTCGCGAGCTCGGCGAGATAAATTACTTTCGCGCGCCTCCCCCGGTGTAACGTATCACCTCTCACCCGAGAACGCGGGAATGTTTCCTTCGACCCGCAACGCGCGAGGAATCTCGCGGGCGAACAAGAGACGGAGTATATCCGAGCGAGAAGGAATAAATCCGCGACGTCGGATAGCGGGGCGGATACAACTTCGATCGTAACGAGCGTAATGTACTTTCTCGGGTCACGCCGTTGCTGGGCAAAAAAAAAAGAAGTTGCGAGATGGAAGAATGTTTGCGTGTGCCCCCCGCCGTCCTTTCACGTGCACACATACGTACATTGCACGCGTACAAACCACGCAGACACATCGTCTCGAATCTCTGGCACTGGCTTGACACACCGCCTGTTGCTGCCGCGCTTCCGCTTAAACTGCTTAAAGTGACGATTGTTTCATCGAAATCGAATAGCTTCATCACATTTGATTGAAAAAAAGAAAAGAAACGCGCATGCATTTCTTATAAATCTCTCGTTTTCTTCTATTACGTAAAACTCGTCCGTCGATTTTATTTCTTCTCGAGTTTATTTCTAATAGAATGAATAATCGCCACAGGGAAATATATATTTTTAAAATGCAGGGAAAAAAGACGCTCTAAGTGCGAACTTGAACGCGCGCGCGTAGCTTCGGGTTTACTTAGACCAATGGTGGATTAACGGAGCCATTGCTCGACTAGAGTAGTCGCTCGAGTCTCCCAAGCGCTGCCTTGGGCAATTAATTTCCTGGCTATCTTAGCTTAACTCGTAGCGATCTGTAAACTACTGTTGCTCTCAAGAACGGGAGGATAAGAGGAAAAAAAGAAAAAAGAAATAAACAACGTACTGACAGTAATCGCGGATTATCGCGGGGAATTAGTAGAAGAATCGCGAAATAAATCGCGCATCTTTTCCGCGAGATGCGCCGCGAATAAATAAATTTCAATTATTTTTATCCGTGATGTTTCTGCTCATTATATCCATTATAATCCAGTCAAATAAACATCTGCTTGATCGCTTCAACGAATACCCGCATTAACGAACAAAAACAACAAAGCGATCAGCGTTCTACGAAGTAATCCATCAAAAAAGAAAAAAAAAACAAGAAACAGAAAGAGATTGCATAACGCCTCTCGGCGGATCTATACGAATAATATACTGAGCTGAAGATGATTCCGACGAGAGATACCGAGATGCAAACAATCTTTCTTATACCAAGGCCGTCCTTTAACTCCGTCACGGCGCAACATCGTTAACTCTCGTAACCCGCGCGAAAGCTAAACGTCAAAGGCCGACGGCGACTTGTCAGCAACAGTGACGCCGACAACTCGGGTTTCTCAAAGCGCGACGACCCGGGACTTTGCCGCCTCTCGGCAACGTTTATTTCGTTAATGAGCGGGCGCTCTCGCGCGCGCCGACCAAATTAATGAGGCCGTGCCTCGCGGCTGACGCCACGGCGCGTCGAATATCGACGAGGAGGACGACGAGGAGTACACGGCGGTGGATAGATGGTAGGCGGATACCGCACACACGGTAATCTGTTCCTAACTCCCCCGCACCGCCGTCCCGGCTGGCTCTCCACATGAGTTACGAGGGCACGAAAATGGACGTCGAATCGAAGTAGATAGGTATGTACCGGTTCTCTCCGATATAACCGCATAACGCGCGTTAATTGCGTTAACTATCCTAGATAATACGGAATACGCACGCGCAACGACGATGGGAGTATCGAATGCGTCGGATGGAAAGCCGCTGAAAAAGTCGGTTTCGTACACGAGACAAAGAGGTAATCAATCTTGTCTTCTACTTGGAACTAATTCAAGTTCCCGAGGAGGCTTGAAAGTACCGAATAACTTGTAACTCGATAGTGTCCTTGAAGCGCGAGGAGCGTTTCTCATCTCCTAATTTCAACGCAACCGCCTCTAGTACTTGGCTGCGCTATAATCTATTAAATGGCTCGTCAAACATGGTCTGCGAAAACAAGGTTACGCTTACCTTCTTCAGATCCTTGCTAGCGTCAGCATCTTCGGCTTTTCGCTTCTCGGTGATCTTCGGCGCTGGTACCGCGACCGTCGCCTCCCGCAACGGCTTCAGATCGACCTGCAACGAGAACAAACACACACCTCGTTATTATTCCGTGTATCTTTCATTCATGATACGGGACGTTAAAAGGGCGCGCGGTCTCTGACGTGGCCTTAATTTTCTAAACATCGTCTGAGCGACGTCCACGTAAGATGAATCGCGATGGATCTACCAGCTCGGGATGCGGGATGTCCGTCGGACACAATGGACACGAACAAGGCATCATCGGCCATTGTGTATCCGGATGTTGCCGCAAACGCGAACGGGCACGCGCCGAAAGCTTCGGGTGCATCGATTTATGGTAATCAATCCGGTTAACTCATCTCTATTTTACGGACGCGTTTACGTTCTACATACTAATCCGGCGTTAATGGGACGAGTAAATACAGAGAGCGGCTCCCCAGGGAGTCCAGGGAGAGCTTGATTTGGCGCTTGATAATTCGCATACTGCTAACGCGCTTCCTCCCTCTCCCTCCTCTCGCTCGGTAATTACTCGATTCGCGAAAATACAGGCGGAACAAGCGGAAGGACAATCAATCGACCGATCGGGAATTTACAAATCTTAATCGAGTATTACCCGGACATTAACGCGAATGTACACCCGTAACTTTCGAAGCTTCGCGCGCGCGGAAGAGAGAGAGAGAGAGAGAGAGAGTCAGACGATGCCTAATTAAGTAGCTGTTCTGTGTTCACCTTGCTTAGAAGCATATATAATTTAGTCTCGGTAATTAAATTAAACGACGAACGTGAGGTGCGCTCCGCTTTCAGCGCTCCACTTTCCTACGCTTTCTGCATTCAAAACGAAACAAGGCTAATATTCTGGGCTCGTAAAGAAAGAAATGGGGAAGCAAAAAGATTGTACGTAGGTAATTGCAGAAAGTACAGTTAAAACGACGAGACTTATGGAGTACGTGAAAGAATTCTACAATCCGCAAAACCTGAGTGTGTCTCCCTTCCCCCTCCCCAATTTCCTCCCTCCTCCTCTGAAGCGTAGATGCAGTTCAACTGAAGGTTAATACAATTACGCAATCACATGTCTCGCCATTTGCATAATGAGAAATTAACTGGATTACGTCGTATGTCCAATTAGCCATCCGTAATGCCGTCACCGAGATTACGAGATTTCAAATAGGAAAAATAACGCGAGAGATTCCGCGGAAGAGACAGAAAACAACGGCTAATATTCGATAAAGTGCGAGTAAATGTATGAGTAAAACGCGGCTCGATCGGAGAGAGATTCCAAGAAGATTCAAACATTTCTCCCTCGTCGCGATATCGCTGATATTGCGCGATCCATCGGATCCTATCTCGAAATTCATCGTGAACAAGCAACATCGATCGGCGCGGCCGAAAAATGACATCGCGATACAAGGTTCACACACTGATGAAACGAATTACGTCCGCGTGGCTGGCACATCGAATTGAGGACCGATCGGACGCACGGGTGCCATTCCGCAAACGGATCGTCGCAAATACAGTGCGAATGAGGCCTTAGGGTTGCTAGGGTCGTCCCTGACAACGCCCTTGCCTGCATTGCGGCTCTTTCTCTCCTCCCCCCTGGCGATATCCTTCCACCATAACCATCGTCGGCCGGAAATGTCTCGAGGAAAGGTCCGAGCAAATTTATATATGATAAGAGACTTATATGTGATCCTGCGAATTGTAAACGATCCCGAGCAATCCCGATATCGCCAAGTGTATTCCAACACGTGAGAGAAAAAAAAAAAAACGAACGACGCCTCGAAAGACGAAAGTAATTTATGTTCATCTGAGATGCTCTTTCGCGTCTCGCTCTTTGCCCGCGGAATTGGTTTAGAATCCTCGCCGCGATTCGTCTTCCTTAAAATAGCCGAAAACGCGGCGAACAAGACCCAAGAGATCCAGTTTCCACGGTACGTGACTGCGCCGCTTCTCATTTGTATGTGTGCATGTGTGTGTATGTGCGTGTACAACTACATGGTGGCAGGTTGAAAACTTCTCCTCTCCGTATGAGACGGAAAGGATGACGAATAACTGCTCGACGTCGCGCTACCAAGTTTCTCCCCTCTGTTAGATTCTGCAAAACTGCTATTATTACGTCACATTTTAGCGATAAATTCCTCCTCAGCGAATCCGATTTTCATTCGGCGGAAATCTCAGACAGACGCCCGCTTAAAATTCACGCAAAAATATTCATCGTGCAGAATTGATTTCTGCGAAATCAAGTTTCGCGAAAAAGGAAAAAAAACTCGGATAATTACGTAATAACGATGTAACGAGATGCCGGCTGTATTACGCGATCGCTATATTTATCGACTCGTCTCGAAGAGAAGACGATTTCCGAGATAAAGCGACCGTCATTCCTCGCAAATGTCTCGTCGCGATACGTATATTTATGAATAAAGCCCAGCCCGAGGCGGCGACAAAAGGAGGGACGGAAGCGTCGCTTCCCGTTCTTCCGGAGAAAACGGGACACCCGTTGCGGGATTCATCCATCACCGACGATATAATTGAGAAAGCCTCCATTCCAGGATTTACATTTTAGCCGCCGCCGCGGCCGGGACTCAATCTAGCCGTTTATACGCGCGTCCCGCGAACGAGAGACAGGCGGAGGTAATACACTTCCGAGTCATTAGCGGGAGTCGCCGGCTTTTGTGTCCTCGCCGCGATGCCACGAATTTTTCATCAATTTCCGCAGCCGCCATTTCGCGTCCTACCAAATTGCTACGCTTATCGGCTTATATCTCGCGCGATCCATAAAATGAAAAAGCGGCTATATTTTCGACATCGAGGATTCGACTATGTTGATGATTAAATGCCATATAAATATATTTTCGTAAGAGATATTATATCTATCTATCCGACTCTCGAAAGATCGTCGAAGAAAAGATCGGAAAAGTCGATCTGATACGAATCATCATCCGCTTAGAGTTGAGAGAAGAAAAAAAACGACTGAGTTCTTGTAGTTTTGTACGCTAATTAATAAAGATGACGGTTGCTTTTAGTAAAATGACCGCGTGCTACTTTGATCACCCTTGAATGAAGCCGTCACCCAGAAACTTCTTTCAACGCCGCCTTGACCGAGTACGACTTTGACTCGCGCGATGTAATTCTACTGAATTCGATTAATCCAGATGCGAACATGTTGCGATCGACGTTTCATCGGCAATTATATCGTTCGGGTTAGCGTTTAATACTGGTTGGTTAATGTTTACGCGTTATTACCGCATCTCGATATATAATGTAATTTCCAGATTGACATTTCCGGCGTTCAATGACAAAGATCGCGTGAAATTGGGAAACGAGCTTTGACTTGCGAATGATTGAACGGCGTTATTATTAAGTCGATTATCGCGGCAATGGATCATATAGTTAACGACGGGAATGCGTCCTCCGTTAATATCTGTATGCATATTTCAAGGTACTCATGCATAACGAGTAACAGGCTTAATGATTCGTGACGCTGTAGCCGTTGATTGATTCAACGCTTATCGTCCACGTTAAACAAATTCCACGTCAAGTGTGTAAATATATAAGGCAATATTAATTTTTACACCGTAACATTGTAACCGTGAAACTTCACACGAAAAGAATTTGCAGGCTCAATTTTTCAACGGCGCGAAAAAAAAAAAAAAAAGATATTTGTGTCGGGTATCATCGAACCGCGTTAATTAATAGTCGCTCCGGGTAAAACGACTGTTCCATCGACAACGGTAGCACAATAATTGCCATTGGCCTGACAAAGATTTATCATTTACCGCTGCGTCGCCCTATAACCGACCAATCGTTAATCTTTATCACAAAGAAGCTCGACACCGTGAGAGCTATATACCTACACATATAACCCAATAACATTAAAGGGATATAAATATTAATGTCAAGACATATCGATGCGGAAAAGCACTGGCGTTTAGAAGTGCATCGCGCAAAGGAGAAATATGTACCGCAATCGTGCTAAAAGCCAGGCAATTTTTACGTTAAAGAATCGTAACAAATGTCGGGCGCATATTTATGATGAAGATACACTGCGAAATATATAAGCGGGGAGACGTAAAGGGCATTTCGGGGAGAACGGACGAATTTCTCCGGACGCGAGTAATTCGCAGAGAAGCAATTATCCTCGTGGAGGCAATTGTCCTGCGCGGCGACGTTAGATTAAACGCGAGACGGCGTGACGAGAAAAGGCGCGGGCGGCGCGTAACGCGGTTGTCTTTGCATTCCTCTTTTATTCTCCAAATCCGGGAGAGTAATTCGTGGCAAAGCGAGTGTGGGAACCGACAACGAGCGGGTGTGGAAGCATTATAATCGCGACTTCGTTAAGCCCGGGATGCCTCATTTTCTAATGGACGCTTTTCTCTCTCTTTCTTTTCTCCACGTTATTTTCTTCGTCTCTCCTTTGCCGTCTTTCTCTATCCGAGTTAAATACCACGAACGCGTTGAAGCGCTACTCCCGATAGGCGCATTCCGCGAGATCGGCGAAACTTTTCACGGCCAATTACATTCGCGAGGTGTTACTACGTTTCATCCGCAGACTCTTTGATCAATTTGGAGTCCGTTACGCCACAATGGTAAAACGAATTTGAATGAAAGAGCCACAATTTTTCGCAAACATTATTCTTCATTTGATTTCTATTGATCAAGGAATTTCGAATTGATTGCAGACCTCGTGGATCAATTTGCAGTTACTTGCTACAAAGGCAATTAAACAAAGCGGTAATAAAAGTTGTAATTTCATTTAAAGTACCTTGTATATCTCATAAGACATTTTTATTTCTAGAAAATATAACATCGTAATAAATTATTCCGAGCGTGTTATATTCCCTCCCTTAAAACTCCCTCTCTGTAACTACAACAAACTTACAATTTGTCTAGTGGCACGCGATCATTTACCGTCGCTATTTACGGTTCATCGAATTGTCGTCGCGGCAATTACAATCCACCAAGACTAGTTACTTCTCTGTTTGATTATCCCGGTAATTTACCGCGAAAATTACGACCTGAAATATTAATGCACGTACGAGAGAAGATTATGCGCGCAT